CAGGCTCCAGCTGTCCTGGTTATAACAGTCCTCAGCTGCACTCCGATTTGCATCCAGCCAGTTGCTACTGTGATTTGAGAAAAGGTTCATGTCTCAGGTCTGACAACCCCTTGGATCGCAGTGATCCCCCACCTCCAATAGATGACCATTTGCCAACCCTACACCCTGACCAGGTTTTCGGGTCTGATTCCCCTCTAAGGGCATTGTCTTTGGTTAGTCCTTGGCGACATAGCCTCTTCCTGGATTCAGAATTGGAGGAGAAAACCAAATCCCATTAAGAAGCCATTCAAAGACCCCCGAAACCTGATTTCTGGGTCAGTAAGAAAGAATATTCTTTGATTTTCCTCGGAGAGAGCTGAGAGACACGGGCTTGGGTACATTTCCACCAGGAGCTGAAAGGGCCCTTTCCTGGCCAATCTAGGTCTTTCCAGGGAAGAACAGCAATAAAAACAAAAAGAAAAGGACTGAAACCTAGGAGTTCATGTTGTCATGGGCAGAAGGGCTGGAGACTTTGGGGGTTCCTGCAGCCACTCTCCTCCTGCCCTCTCCCCCTCGTCATGCTTGGGCCACACCTACTGCAGGCACCTGTGGACGCCTTCACCAACCAGCTAAAGGGCAAGCGCAGACAGCTGGTCTCCCTAGGCTGTCCACCTAATTCCTGACAGTCACCAGAGGTCACACAGCTCCCTTCTGCAGGGTTACAAATAACTGCCAACCACAGTCACATACACAAGAACTGCTATTCCAGTGGCCAGAAAAAAAAGGGAAAGAGAGAAATGACCGGAAGTTGTGCTCTTTATTCGGTAGCTTCTTTGGGCTTTCAGATGGAGAAACAAGCACCTTTTCCTGGAATCTGGCTTTGTTTCCCCCCCTTCTGCATGTTTTCTGATTCCTGTAACCTGTGGTAAGGTGATCAAAGCCTCTTATCTTTCACACTGGCTAAGCCAGGCCATATTCTTGATGCTCCCTTGAATCAGCCAGACCCTAGGAAGTAAATGAAACCTCTTGTCCGCAACACATTTGCTATAAGCCGATTTGCATTGTTTCGTCTATAGGCAATGGACACCACACGAGATACTTTATTACAAATGGCCTCTTGGCACTTGTGTTAAAAAAAGGAACTCAGTCACTAATGTAATTCATAGGGGATATAAGGCCCTGTCAAGTATGGGCATTCATTTTGACTTGTTTCAGACAAACGAGTCACACGGGGAGGGCTCTTCTGGGTCATCTGGTTTACCTTTCCTCTTGCTTTAGAGATGAGAAACCTGAGGCCAAGAAGGGAAGTCACTCAAAATTATCCAGCTGGTCCGTGGCAGGGGCACCTGGGGTCCTGCCTCCTGTGCCCTTCCCAGCTGAGAGAGCTGCCCACACTCCTGGTTCTATGCTCTGCTCTCCTGGCTTCAGTTCAACAGGTCCAAGGCCAGACAGAGAGCCTGGGAGAGGCATTTGGGCCTTGGCCACTGTCAGCATCCCCCACGGAGAGAGGAGCTACCAGCCCGCTCTTGAAATTCCCAGTGCGTGTCCTTGGGAACAGGTTGATGGCAGCAGCCCCATGGCACTCAATGCCCTGTGTTCCCAAAGCCGACCTGATAGACAGGGAACACATTCAGAGACCAGCCTCTGCAGCCCCTTAAAAACGGTCTTTTTCTCTCTTAGGTCCAGGCCTGGGGCAACATCACACTTGGATTTTGCATTCCCTGGGGTATTCCTTCCTAATTATTCTGCTCTTCTACTCCACCGGAAAGTTCCAGCCTCTGCATCCTTTCACTTGGACAATAACTTCTAACAATGTCAGAAGCATCCGCCCATCATGCTCAAGGAAAAGAGGTGGGTGAGGGTTATGCCAGCATCCCCAGGGGGCTACGCAAGCTACCCAAGGTAGGGGTAAGGGGAAGGAGGCTGGATAAGTCTTTTCCAGTTTTAGAGAACTGTTTTGTGGGACTGGCAAAACCTGATTCTCTGTGGCTATATTTCAAGCCAACTGAATCCAATTAATTTCACCTTGAAGACTTTCGGAGCATTGTTATAATGTCCTTTGAGACCATATAAAAAGGGCCCCAAATCAATATGAAGTAGAAACCATAGCTGCAAAAAAGACTGTGTGCAATAGCAATGAGCATAGGATACTAAGAGAAATGCGTGGATGGTTTGTGTACTTGACCTTATTCCTCCAAATCCAGTGTTTCTGGCAAGGCCACTTAACTGAGGACAGTCCCCTGAGTGACTTAGTCAAAGGAAGGATGGAGTGAGGCTGAACAGTTCTGACATTTAAATCGTCGTGGAGACAGGTCCGTAAGAAGCAGCCCAAATCCTCCTCTCTTTTGCCATCACTTTAAATAATTCAGATTGAAAACCCTAGCTGCTGTTTCTTTTCTACTTCTGATGGATTTTCCCCCCTATTGGGGGCATTTAGCCATGAGGTGGTGAGGGAGGATGGCTATGGCAAGGCCTCTAGGTTACGGACTTTTAGCCCTGAGAGGTCGCTGAAGAGGCCACGTGACACTCTGACCTGCGGTCATTCCAGACAGATATTCTGCCGGGAAGGCAGCCCTGCAGTCTCCAATAATGTAACTGGTATGTACCGTAGTCTAGAAGCTTAAGCTCAGTCCATCTGCATTATCATGGCATTATAGAAAAAGGGGCACCTCCTTTTTACAGTGGGGTTCAGGACCTTCTATATGTCAGTGGAGCAGGGTGAGTGACATGATTCCTATGGGCCTTTGGAGAAATAGTACAGTAAGATGAGCCAGTATGATTCGAGACCTCCAGCTGGGAGGAGCAGGGCTCAGCAGCTTCCACAGGGCCAGAGAGCCAGGGCCCCACAGAACAGGGTGCCACAGCACCGGCCACCATGGCTGGGCCAGCCCAGCTAAGGGGTCGAGCTGTGCAGTCACACCTGTACTCTCCTAGTCATGCCTTCATATGGTCCCAGGGAGGCTCTAGCTATTGGTGAAGAGCAAACGTCTCTTTGATTTATGATCTGAGTCTGGACTTAAACCTAGAGAAGGCATTTGGAATAAAATAAATTTCTTCCTCTCAGTTCTTAGATATATCATTTTATGATTCCGTGGATGGGAGGTTGGGAGGGGCATTATTGTCAAACTGTGCTTGCTATCTTTCATTAGGTTCTGCTGGCTAACTATAGAGAGCAGACCAGCAATTTTCAATCGGTGTGCCGAGGCACACTGGTGCGCCGCAAAAAATTTTAAAACATGCACTACGTAACTGTCAGGGGCACTGACCTCTTTTCCCTTAGATTGTCAAATAAAAAAGTGACAACAGCCAACGTAATAGCCGTCCAGTGTGCATGAATCAAAATTACACCTATTTTTTTTGTCAGATCAGCAAAAAATACATTTTTTGGTGTGCTGCAGAATTTTTGTAATTCGCTTATGCGTGCCATGAGATGAAAAAGATTGGAAATCGCTGGAGGAGACCATTTGTCCTGTGAAACCTGAGACAGGAGCAGGTATCAAGAATGAAGACTTGCAGGACACATCTTCTCTGCAAATGAAACACCCAGCGTCTTCCCAAACCACTGGACTTGCCCAAGACCACATGTCAACCTCCATTCACTTCAGTTCACATTTCTGGCTCATGGGAGAGTTTCTTAACCAGCAAACAGATGCTTTGGACGATTGAGGCTTAAAATAGCTTTGCCTTCCAGATGACACTTCTGACTTTTCACCCAGATTGCGAGGTCCTTGCTCTGGGCCCTGGGAGGTGGAGGAGGGGGAGAGTAGGGAGGATACCACCTGGCTCCCAGGTAGCTCCTGTTCTCCTGAGCAAATGGGAGGGCAGGTTCAAGCACAAAAGAAAAAGGCAGAGAAACCAGGAGATGTTTGAAGGGTAATTTACCCACAGCAGGATGTGGATGCAGGGAGTCAGGTTGCAATCAGGCAGAACCCAAGTGTTCCTTAAGAAAATGTTCCCTATTTTTGTGTGCCTTGGCAAACTCTGGGTGGAATGCAAGGGTTGCCATGGCAACCCCCCCTCCCTTGTTTTTTTTACAGATTGGTCACATGGGATCAACATTCTGGAAGCCACTGCTAATAGTTCCCATGCTGGGTCCTATTTGGGGGCCCTGTCTGCTTCTGGAGTGATGGGTGACAGCTTCTCTGGGGGCCAAGGGCGTTAGGGTCTGTATTTCTTGTCTCTCAGGCAGAATGCCTCCTTGATCATCCCTGTGTGGCCTGGGGGGGGGGCACCCATTCTTGCAACAAGAATGAGCCAAACTCCATTTGCCAGTCACTCAGAATAGGCCGCTATGTCTATTAGCTAAGAGCACAGAGGGAGAGTTGATGTCCTCCCTCTCATTTCCTGCAGAGGTCACCTTCCACTGGGGCCACAAGGCCTGGGGGACCAGGATCTTCCAGAGTCTTCATCCAGGAACATCACAACCCCTGTGGTGAGGATGCTGACAGGTATGGGGCCCCTGGAGGGCACTGGTGTGGACAGGACTGGGGGTGGGGCTGGGGGAAGTCAACACCCTGAGCTGCCTGACAAAGACCATCCAGACAAAGGAGCCAGGGTGCAAGTCACTGGGACAAGCTCTTAGCTCCCAAAGTCTCAGGAAGGCCACTACTCTGGGTTGTCTCCACACCCTGCAGCCTGTGGGACACACCTGAGGTTACCATGGAGGAGGTTAACTTCTAGCCCATCCAAGAGAGTTCTGTGGATTCCTTCGTGTCCCCTCTCCCTAGCAACCCCCACAAAGAATGCACTCTCCTGGATTTTCTCCGGGTAGGATGGCTGTCTTCCCGGTCACTGGGAGAGGAAAGAAGTCCTCTTTGGGGGAGGACTTTGTAGGGAACAGGCTGTTGGTGCCTTGCGGGAACTCTTTTAATCTCCACCCTTGCATGGTGGCTAATCTGTCTTCCAATAGAGGCTAACCCTCACATCATCAGGGCCCCTGTTCTCCAGTGGGAGGCAGAAGAACCTGTAGAACAGCAGCCTTTGAAGAAGTACTCTTTCGTAGCCCTCAAGTCCAGCCTCACCTAGAGCACTGCAATCCCATCTCGTGGGGCACAGTCCTTTAAGAATCGTCCCTGGGGTCTCCATCTAGTCTACTTAGGATCCTGCCCCCCGCCCCCCCCGCCCCAGTATAATGTAGTCTAGTGGTTCAGGGGCCCTTCCCACCTAAGTTCAATTCAAATAGAGAGGGCCAACTGCTCTGGGCAGGAGCTAATGATGAAGCTGTCCTATTAGCATGCTATGGTTGGACCTCTTCTTGTTCAGGATTCTGATGGGGGGGAGGGGGCATGGTGAGTCAGGCAAGGGGAGGGAGGAGAGGCAGGTGTGCTGTGGCAGGGCAGGGTGGGCAGGCAGGTGCTTTCCTGGCCTGGATGTGCGGGGCCCCAGGCATTTTCCCAGAGAGACTCTCATACCCCTAGACTCTCGAAAGCTTACACCTGCTCCCTCCTCTGTACTATGGCTCAAACCCTAGTTTTTCTTGTGCTCATCATGGATATTCTCGGTCTCCCACAGTGGGGGAGTTCCTACAGCTGCCCCCAGGCTGTTGCCTGAAGCGCTGGCAGAGGTGCATTGGAAGAAGACCCTAAGCTGAGACTATGGATGCTCCAAGTCCAAGAAGGCAGTAAGGAGAAAGCGGAGGGGGAGGGGGAGGGGGGGAGCTCGAGGAGAGGTTCAGGAACACACACCCCACCAAAAAGCCTGCCTGGCTGCAGTGAGAGAGGAAAGGTTCTGGAACCTCAAAGCTTTCGGATGCAAGAGGAGCAAGACGATTCCATCATAGAAATAAAGACCTGAGCTTGGAAAAGTACAAAGGGAAATGTTCCATTGAAAGGGTATTGGCTAACCAGACGATGCAAGCTTGAATTAATAGTGGTGGCTGATAGGACACGTAGAAAAAGTCAGAAAATCACAGACTTGAAATGGTGTTGAAAACAGACCACTGCAGTCCGTTTCCTTCCCCGACAGAAGTATTCCGCAGGCAGGGTAAGTGACCTGTCCTGTTGGCTAAGCTTATTAACATCTCTGTTTTGCTTTGTTTTTCTCTCATGGAAGCGAGTCAGTTGCAGGATCTGAATGCCCGAAGATGTTATGGAAAATACAGTAGTTTGATCTTTCCACTCTGGATTGTATTCCTCTTTTTATCTGGGGAAGACTAACTTAGCAAGCCAACTGTAAGGTGAGAACAAGGTAAGATGCGTGAGGACCTTAACTTACAGAGGTCTCTGGCAGGGAGACATGTGTGTGCGGGCTCCATTGTTGCGGACGACTGGGGCGTGGGCTGCAACACCTCCTCGCCACCAGTCTCAGTCCCCGTCCCCCAAACGACCTCTCCCACCCAAAAGAGGCAGGGATGCGTGTCGGAGGATAAGCGTATATGAGGAGTAAGTGATTAGGGAAGAATGATGCCACACATGAAGAAGCCAAATAGATACATCTATCTACGTGTCTATGTGATTATAGAGATGCCCACGAGTATGCTTCTTTGTTCTTTAATGGCAGCACAAGCAGCACAGCTGGGAGGAAGGCTCTCTGCAGATTCCAAAATGCTGGTGCGTGATGGGCTCTAGGAACTGAAAGCCAAGTGCAGATGGAAACCGAGAACTCCCCAGCTCTGCCAGCTAGAGTCCTGTAGAAAGGCTGTAAGAACGGAAGCATGGGAGCAGCTGCAGGCTGCAGGTCCTGCACCCCTCGGACAGCTTTCCCCTCATGCCTTGGGGGGGGGGGGGCTCCACTAGGTGGAGGAGGAAATCCAGGGACAGGTGGAGAGCCCCCTCTTCTGCGGCAACCCTGAAGTCACCCCTTGGGTTGCCCTGGGGGGTCTCCAGTTGCCCCCTGGGTTGAAAGGACGGGGCGGGGAGGTGACTGCGTGTTCACGCCTCTCCCTTGCTCTCTTACCACTGGCCCGCATGGCCATTGGAATTCTGAGATGAAAATGAAGTTCCTGTGCGGAGTTTCTGCAGGTGGTTGAAGCGATCACTCGGAACTCCTGGCTATTTATTGCATTAGGAAACAAAACCATTAAAGCATTGAAGACAGCCCTTTTGTGTCCCTGCCAAGGAGATGAAGTGGACTTGCAACAGAGGTTGCACTGCAACCTTGGGTTCTTCGCCGAACTGTGCCACGTCTGCATCGTCCAGATCTGCTTTTGTGGAGGAAGAGTCGGCCCGCAGGGCGTGCGCATGCGCAGTGAGCGGGGACCGCAGCGGCTGGTGGCGGGCAGCGGCTACTCCATGCCGCTCCGCAGGATCTGGTTGGCGGCGATCAGCATGACGCTGATGATGAAGGCCATGGCGAAGGCGCAGATGAGGCTCTTCCGCACGCAGGTCTGCCTGTTCTGTTTCTGGGAGTGCACTGGGGGTGGGGGAGAGGAAGGAGGGGAGGGGGAGAGAGGAGAGAAACGACACAGTGAGAGGAGGCAGGCTGAACCTCTTCCTCAACAAGCCCGAGTCCAGTCCACAGGATGCAGACTGGTCAGGTCAAGTCCACAAGCATTTCTGGGCCCACTCCGAACATCTGAACATCGCGTCTTCTGGCAAATGGTATAAAACGGTGAGACTTCTATAACAAAGACCGTGACAAATGTGATGTTCAGAGAGTCCGGTCTAGATTTCCAGATGTAAGAGTTCCCATGACTTTCTGAGGGAGGAAACAGGAACATTCAGAGTGAGTCTCACAAAGGGCATCGTCCTGGCCCTGCGGTGGCCGTGTCTGTGGAATGCCTGGCTGCCACACCCGAGGCGGCTGATCACAGAGAGAATGAGGGCCCTCATAGCCCTGCTGGGCTGGAAGCAGCTCACCTTTCCCAGAATTGTCCTTGGGTGGCTGCTGTCTAAATGACTCTAAGTGACTTCCGGCATTATTTCATATGTGCCCACCAGTGATTCTAGAGAGGGGTCCCTGGGCAAGCAGCGTCTGCATCACACGGGACTTATTCAAAATGCAGATTTTTAGCCCGACTGGTGTCGGGTGTTCTAAGTGACTTCCGGCATTATTTCATATGTGCCCACCAGTGATTCTAGAGAGGGGTCCCTGGGCAAGCAGCGTCTGCATCACACAGGGCTTATTAAAAATGCAGATTTTTAGCCCAACTGGTGTCCGGTGTTGCTCAGTGGTTGAGCGTTGATCTATGAACCAGGAGGTCACAGTTCAATTCCCAGTCAGAGCACATGCCCAGGTTGTGGGCCCCATGCCCAGTAGCGGGTGTGCAGGAGGCAGCCAATCAATGATTTTCTCTCATCATTGATGTTTCTCTC